AGAGGTTCGACAATCCAACGGACCCACCTCTCAAGAACCCTTGAATAGTGGTAAGATGGCGTCCATGAGTGGCTGTGCGTCTGCTAGGCTCCTGATCTTTTTTGGTTATTTGGTGTTTTTTATTGTTTTTTCTCTATCTGGTGAGGAGTCCCTGATAACATATGATCGAGACTTACTGTTGTCGATCAGGTCCGCGATGATCAACCTCCAGAACTCGATACCAGACCCGCTTTCCCACCGCCTCTGGAACCTGGCGTTAACCCAGGTCTCGGCCCTTTGTTACCTGTCGGCCTGCCGCTGCCCAGGAGGCCATGGAAGAGGAAACGGGGGAAGAGAGCCGGCTTCTTCGTTCAGCTTCGAAAGATCCTGAGAGGCGAAGCTCTGCCTGATCGCTGCTCCGCGGCTGTGTTGTGGCGGATCCAACAGAAACTTAACGAAGTTGGGCTGATCTCGCTGCTAAATGGAGCCCCTGATGCGGGACGCTACCTGAAGGCGTGGGAGACAAAGAACCTCCGCGGGCGTAGCCTGGAGTCGCTACATAGCTTAGCCCGCCAGCCGCCCGCCATTATCGAGCCTGCGGCACACACATCGCCAGATTCCTCCGCAAAAATTATGTTGATTAACGCGCGCTCCATCGCCAACAAGTCTCACATCCTCAACGATCTGTTCCGGACCAAAAATTTTAACTTTTTGTGGATTTCTGAGTCGTGGCAGCGCGAAAATGACGTCACTCATCTCCGTGAGCTCTGTCCTCAAGACTGCTCTTTCTTCTCCGCTCCACGAACCACAGGCCGCGGTGGAGGAACAGCTGTTATCTTTAAGAAACACTTTTCGTGCCAAATTATATCCTCAAACTCCTACAGCTCATTCGAGATGATCATGATTAAAATTGGTCGAGTTCAACCAGTTTATGGAATTCTGGTCTATCGCCCACCTGGATCTACTTCATCCTTCCTGTCTGACTTTCAGGATCTCCTATCTTCAACTATTAAACTAGACAGGATAATCATTGTTGGAGATTTCAACAACCACACTGAGAATCTAACTGCTCCACTAGGGAGTTCCTAAACATGATGAACTATTTTAACTTCTCTCAACACGTGTCTGGTCCCACTCACAGAGCAGGCCTCACCCTGGATCTGGTCTTTTCCTACGGACTTCTTGTTGATAAACTGCAGATAAATGATGTTGTGTTCAGTGACCATAAGTCAGTTTCTTTTCATATTAACCTAAATTCTGAATCTCGTCTCCGCCAAGCAACGACGTATTATCAACAGTTCTACCATTTTAAATTTCTCCTCCCTCTTTGACTTTGTACCTCCTTCCTCTGATGACGTAGAGCTCCTTACTAACTCAATGATCACTGCCTCAAAATTCTAGATCAGGTTGCCCCTTACAAAACCAGCTGCAGTTCCAGTGCCTCCAGTTCACCCTGGCTGAACAACCAGATTCTTGAACTTAGACGCTCCTGTAGAAAAGCGGAACGACGGTGGAAGAGGTCAGGTCTGGTTGTTCATCGCGAATATTTTAAAGAACTTCTCGAGTCATACGACGAAGCTGTAGAAAATGCCAGGTCTTCTTTCTTCAGCAACCTCACATGTCAAAATAAGAATAATCCTAAGGTTTTGTTTGATACCATCTCCAGCATCGTGTCTTCTCCTCCGCAGCAGGCTCAGCTATCTTCAGCTGATGACTGTAAATGATTTATCCACTTTTTTGCCAACAAGGTGTTGAATCTGAGATCCAGCATTCCACCAGCCCTCCCCCCTCAGGAGGGGAGGCCCCCCAGTGCTCCGAGTCTTTCCCCTCCTTCTCCCCAATTACACTAAATGACTTAACCTCAATAATCAGTCAGATGAAGCTCTCATCATGCTCATCAGATATCTTAACTCCCTCTGTTTTAGGCGGGTCCCTTGCCTCTATCAGTCCATCTCTGTTGACTATAATCAACAGCTCACTGAGCCAAGGCTGTGTTCCATCTTACTTTAAAAATGCTGTAGTGACTCCTCTCTTATAGAAACCCAACCTTGACTCCAGCTCCACCAGTAACTTTAGGCCCATTTCAAAACTACCTTTCATCAGTAAAGTACTTCAGAAGGTTGTGAAAACCCAACTCAGATCCTGGTTTTCCAAGTCAAAGATCTCTGACCCCTTCCAATCTGGCTTTCTGCAGCAGCACTCAACTGAGACTGCTCTAGTAAGGGTGCATAATGACCTCCTGATGGCTGCTGATGCAGGGAAATGCTCTGTCATGGTCCTGCTTGACCTCAGTGCAGCATTTGACACTGTAGACCACAACGTTCTACTAAACAGGTTAAAGGCCCTGGCTGGGATTTCAGGTTCTGCTCTAGACTGGCTCTTTTCTTATCTCACCAACAGAACATTCACAGTGAAGTCCGAAACCTTCTCTTCAGATACTGCCTCTCTAACATGCGGGGTCCCACAAGGTTCAGTTCTAGGGCCTCTACTATTCGCATTCTATATTCTTCCCCTAGCTGGCATCATTCAGTCTTATCTCCTACCACATCTACGCTGATGATATTCAGCTCTATATGTCCTTTATGCCACACCAGTTGGACATGTTGGCCACACTTGTACTCTGCCTGACCCAGATCAGTAACTGGCTGTCCAGCAACTTTCTTGTCCTCAATGCTAACAAGACAGAGACCCTGGTCGCTGCACCCCCAGAACTTCAGCCAAAAATCGAGCAAGAAATTGCCTCTTTTTGCCCATCAGCCAAGGCCAACATTAGAAACCTGGGAGTTATTTTTGATCCGGTTTTAAGTTTAGACTCACACGTCAAAACCATCTCCCGCTCTTGTTTCTTTCAACTGAGAAACATTTCAAAAGTCTGTAAACTGGTTTCTACTGCAGATCTGGAAAAAATAATCCATGCCTTTGTGTCATCACGCTTAGACTATTGTAACGCTCTTTTTACTGGTCTCAGCAAAACCTCCCTCTCACGCCTTCAAGCCATCCAAAATGCAGCAGCCAGACTCCTAACCAAATCCAGCAGACGAGCTCTCATCACTCCAGTTTTACAGTCCCTCCACTGGCTCCCGGTAGAACATAGAATACAGTTTAAAGTTTTAGTCCTGACCTATAGAGCTCTTAACAACCAGGCTCCAAGCTACCTATCTGAGCTTTTATCCCCACACACCACCTCTCGGAACCTTAGATCCACATCTGAAAACCTCCTGGCTGTTCCTTGAACCAGACTGAAAACCAAAGGGGACAGGGCTTTTCAGACTATTGCCCCCAGACTTTGGAACGGTCTACCTTCAAATCTCTGTCTCTCTTACACTGTAGAGGTCTTTAAAAATCATCTAAAAACTTACCTTTTCATCCAGGCGTTCTCTCCCTAAATGTTCAAAAAGATGGCTTTGTTCGGGTTCACACCTTCACTTTGTTTACACTCATGATTTTATTTTCTACTTTATCACTGCTATTGTTTTTCTGATGTTTTTATTGGTTAGAGGTATTTGCCCTGATCTTTATCATGTTGTACAGCGCTTTGTGATTTATGTCTGTGAAAGGCGCTATATAAATAAACTTTTACTTACTTACTTACCAGGGAGGCTCAGAAGTGTGATCCCCCTGTAGTTGGAACACACCCTACGGTCCCACTCTCGGCTAGCATCCGTCACACACTGCACCCGACTCCTTTGGCCCCTCCCACGAGTGGTGAGCCCATGGAAAGTTGGATCCACATTTCCTCTTCGGGTTATGCCCGGCTGGGCTCCATGGGTGAAAGCCTGGCCACCGTGCACTCGCCAATGTGCCCGAACTCCAGGCCTGGCTCCAGAGGAAAACACTGATGACCCGCATACGGGCGAGGGAACACTGTTTGCATATATATTTTTCCTCATAAGGGGTCTTTGGGCTGCTCTTTGTTTGATCCCTCACCTAGGACCTGATTGCCATGGGTGACCCTACCAGAGGCATAAAGCCTCAGACAACTTAGGTCCTAGGATCATTGGGACACTCAAACCCCTCTACCACAGTAAGCTGGCAGCCCAAGGAGGACCACATTTAATGTGTGAATATACTCATTAATACATTCAACAAGTAGACTCATGTGGTGTATTCAATATCTGAAATAAAGCATTATTTCAAGAATAAACAATTATGTTGATTCATTCATCACTGTGATGCAGTCAGGCATTATTAAAACACTTTAGATAAAACATTTAGTTTAATTTAATTGTTCTTAAACTGTTAAGTAAAGAACTATTTTATATCTTTATTAAAAGGGGCTTAGATTAAAGTCTCGTCTCCTGTAGAGGTGCCTTGTGTCTTGTGATAAGGACACTGGACAAGTTAAGAGATATTATCGCCACCTCCTGGTGCCAGGTCGACAAGTTATGTCTTGGCAGAAAGTTAACCGTTGGCACATTTGATAAATACATGGCCTCGGCCACGTTACAACAGATTTCATCACCTTCAGCTTACGACAGGTGACAGATGCGTGCTCAGATTGGTCCCTTGCATCAACCTGTGACATGGTATTATGTTACAAATTCACCTTTAAACCCACAACTGCACTCATGGAGTGTATGTGGCTTAGAACGTGAGAGCAGGTGTGAAAGTCTAGGTGTTAAAAGTTCTAGAAACAGCTGAGATCAAAGAAGATGAAAACAAATGTGTGGAAGGAGCCTTTAACTGATGCTGAATCAGAAGCCGTCATGTGAAGCTGCTTAAATAAAGCAGTCAAAGAAAAGGTTTGTGTGGCAGGATCATTTCCTCTGATGAAGCAGACGGTGGTGTCAGTGAACTCCAACACTTTCTCATCTGGTCTGTTCAGAGAACACAGCTGTTACTGTCACCACAGCACATCTGCTCCATTCAACACATCTGGATCAGTTCTGTGTAGATATGAGCAGACAGTGATAGTTGATCAGACTGTCAGCTGTTGTTTTGTTGTGTTGATGCAGGCTTGGAAGTTGTTTGACAGCAAACACGATAACAAAGAGGAACAAACGCACACGTCCCATTGAGACTGATGATTTCTGTTCCTGTTTATTGGTGTCAGTGAAAAACTCCACTTTGACTCTTTTCAGCACCGGCGTTCCAGAAAGGATGAAGACAACATTCCCATCAGATATTCAGTTCACAGAAAATGGATGAAAAAAAGTCTTGAGTTGGACTTATTTACATATTCAGATTACATGTTCTGATTTTTCTACAAGTTTTTTGTTTAAGTTTTAATTTTAATTATTGATCATTTAAAGTATTTCTCTGGAGATAAAAACATAGAATCAGCAAATGTTGCTCAAAAATACAAAAAAGAGAAAAATAATAATTCATCATCATGATTCCGTCAGTCGCTTTCTACACAAACTGCTGCTTCAGCCTCTGAGGATCATCAGGACTCCGCTCATCTTCTCTCCTGGTCAAAGGTCACCAACATGACTCCCACCTGTAGAGAGAGGAGAGGAGGTGACTTCCTGTTTCCAGACTCTCTCCATCAGCTGTCGGTCAGTGATGCAGCACATCCTCCATCAGCAGCAGCTTCCTTTCAGCTCTCATGTTAACGTGTTGGAGTGAAGCTCACACACCTGCAGAGACTTTTAGCATCAAGTGTGTTTCCTCTGCAGGTGTGACTCCAGTCCACAGTGGAAACATTTTGCATTCTATGATGTCCCTGAAGACATCTGGATCAGACTAATGACAGAAAGACAGCTGGACAGATGTGCTGAGTGGACTTCAGCAGATGTTCTGCTCTGTAGAAAGACCACATGGCTCCTAAATGGAAGCCTGCTTTCTGAAATCAGAGCCAGTGATGTACAGGCTGCAGTCAGACTGATCTCAGAGCTGTGACAAAGATCAAAGTGATCAGCTGTTTCCTGTTGAAATGAGAGAACAAACAGTATGAGATCAGATCTGATGGAGACACTTTGATGAATGAGGACCACTGTCTCTATCCATGTTGAAGGCTGTCAGCTGGAATCCAGCTTGATCTCCTGGAGACATGAACACAACAACACTCGTCTTCACATCAACACAACAAGCTACTGGCTCTATTCATCAAGCCTGTCACCATTCTCCTCTCACAGCTGGACTGAAGAAAGCAGCCACTGGGAAGCTGCAGCTTTACTGGAAACACTGGATCTTTGCTTTGATCCTAACTGGGTTTAGTCCAGTCCTTCTGACAGCAGCCTGGACTCACTCCACCCAGATACTGACCTCAGAGTCTGCAGGTTGTAGTCTGGACTCTCCACTAGATCCAACAGCTGTTTAACATCTGGAGCCTTCAGGCTGTTCCCGCTCAGGTCCAGTTCTGTCAGATGGGACGGGTTGGACTTCAGAGCTGAGACCAGAGAAGAACAGCTGATCTCTGACGAGCTGCATTTCTCCAACCTGAATAAAGAACAAAACCAGTAAAGTGAAGCCAACAGGATGCAGGTTAAAACAGAAACATGAACTAAATAATTTAAAAGGAATAAATTATGTTTATCATGTCAAAAGTACAAAAACGATAAAATGATGTTTAACATTTTTCTAAGTTAAAAATGATTTAAAGGATTTAACAAGCAGAAACTGAAACCTATTTTTGTTCTAAAACGGTGTAACGTCCAGCAATGGTCAGTTTTAGGTACAGTTTGACCATTCAACATCTGGTCAAAAAGGAGACACGAGACTGCATGTGTTCCCTTTAAATCAGCCTGCCTTCATCCCATCAGCTGGAGCTCAGAGCCTCTCTGCAGCTCTGAACACATGATAACGAATTGTCAACAATAATGTTCTCTCCTCAAGGTTCAAGCTTCCCTTATCGTCCTACAGGACTCTTCATGCCTCCAAATAAGTGAACACTCGCAGCTCGGATTAGTTGCTAAATCAAAGAATGATTTCTTAAATTAAATATGAACTTCTAAAACTTATAAAGTTAAATAATAATTAAATAAACATTTGTTTATTGCTACTTATAATAATTATGATATAATGAAATGCTTTCATTAATCTGTGCTCAATGATTGAAGGTTGAAATGAATGTTATGTTATGATTACATTGAAAGATTGATATATGTTCAGCATGTTAATATGACAAGGTCATCACTATTTGCACTCACACAAGAACAAGTAAGGTAAAGTTAAACCTTACAATATAAATCAGTTAAAGCCATGGAGGCATTAAACAAAGATCTTAATAAACAAAACTGGAAGGAGGTATACGTCAGTGATGTCAACGCTGCATACACATCCTTCATGAAAATACTGTTGAAGTCATATAATGATAACTGCAAATTAATCACATCTACAGGTAAAAGGGAAAATCAACCTTGGATGACTAAGGGATTAAAGAATGTGTGTGCAAAAAAGAATAATTTATATAGGAGTTTTTTTTAATTGCAAACAAGGGAAGCAGATGATAGAAATAAAAATAGTAAAATAAATTGGTAACAATAATTAGGAAGCAAAAAAAAGATTATTATGGTAATCTATTGAATCAGAATAAAAATAACACAAAAGCTACTTGGGGAATAATAAACAGTGTGACTAAGAGAGAAAACAAAATCCAGAATTCCAAATCACTTTGTCAAGGACAAAAAAGATATTTATGATGATAAAGAAATCACTGATGAGTTTAATGATTTTTTTGTAAATGCAAGTAGGAGTTTGATGGAGAACAAACCAATAATAGAAGATAAATTGACCACAGTGATTAGTACTGTCAATAGTGTTGTCCTTGACAAAGTAGATAAAGAAGAAATACGAAACATTATAAAAAACTGTGGAAACAAACGATAACCGATTATCAGGACCTGGACATGATAACTGTTAAAACCATCTAAGAATCTGTCATTGAACCATTCACTTACATTTGTAATCTATCACTTTCTACTGGAAATTTTCCTGACGCAATGAAAACAGCGAAAGTCATTCCTTTGTACAAGAGTGGTGATAAACATAGTTTCAATAATTACAGGCCGGTGTCACTGCTTCCACCGTTTTCTAAATATTGGAAAAAGTATTTGTATCAAGGTTGGATAGATTCATCGAAAATTTAATATTTTAAACAATGAACAATATGGGTTTAGAACTAAACATTCCACAGCAATGGCAATAATGGAATTAATGGATAAAATATCAACAGTAATTGACAATAAAAATGACTTTGTTAGTGTTTTCACTGATTTGAAAAAAAGCTTTTGACGTCATTGATCACTCAAGGTTACTTCGAAAATTAAGTCAGTATGGAATAAGAGGTGTGGCTCATCAATGGCTTAAAACTTATTTAGAAAAAAGGAAACTGTTTGTTCAGATAAAGGACCATAAATCAAAACTATGTGAAATTAATTGTGGAGTGCCACAAGGGTCAGTCCTCGGACCAAAACTGTTCATTTTGTTCATTAACGACTTGGTAAATGTATCTAAGACACTCAGTACCATTCTATTTGCAGATGATACGACACTGTTTTACCCAGGATCAAATATTGAGGAGGTGGCTAAAGTGATGAATGATGAACTGATTAAAATTAAAAACTGGTTTGATATAAATAGATTGACACTGAATCTAAATAAAACAAATTTTATACTGTTTAATGATAAAAAGAACAGTGATGTGTCATTGGAAATAGATGGGATTGTAATTCAAAGAGTAAAATAAACTAAATTTATTGGAGTTCTTATTGATGAAGACTTGTCATGGAAATCCCATATTAGTTACATAAAAGGTAAAATTGCCAAATCCTTAGGAGTATTACATAGAGTTAAGTTTTTACTGACTATTCCTGGTTTGTTGGCATTGTACAATTCACTGATTGTTCCATACTTGACTTATTGTGTAGAAATCTGGGGAGCAACATACAAAAACTATACACAACCCTTATTTATTTTACAGAAAAGAGCTCTGAGAATCATCAATTATAGTGGCTGTAGAGATCCATCGAACCCATTGTTCATTAAATATAAATTACTGAAATTTCATGACTGAAAAGACTAGAAAATCATACAAACCATGTATAAAGCCAATTTAGGTACTCTGCCAACAAACATTCAGGGGATATTTGAAAAGAGAACTAGTAATTACATGCTGAAAGAAACTTATGTGTTTACAAAACCCAGATTTAGAACTAAAATTAATGAGTGGAATATATCTGTAAATGGTGTTAAATTATGGAATAACCTTAAAAGGGAAATTAAAAAACTCTGTCATTTAATATATTCAAAAATTGTACGAAATTGAGTGTACTAAATAATTACGAAAATGTAAATTAAATCAATGATCATGATCGCACTGGAATTTAGAACAGGAAAAAGTTTAAAATGAATCTGTATGTGTGTCTGACAAATGGTAATTATATATAAATTGATTATTTCTACTGGAAAAGGGGGCAGAAATTATAAGATGCTTTTCTTCATTCTGCTCCTTTTCGTTTAAATTTGATTTTTTGTTATGCATTTCTTATTGTTTATATGTTTTATTTGTTTTTATTTTGAATGAAATAAACAAAAAAAATAAAAACAAAATAAAAAACCATGACACATAAACAGCCTTTACCCCAGAATAGAGCCTCCGGATCAAAGAAGGCGTGCTTCTGAGGTTGTCTTGATAATATTCCTCAAACTTGTCAACCTCTGGTTGGCTACACAAATCATAACATGAGAACATTAAAACTGGATCACTCTGGTGATTCATCAGTTCTAGAGAAAGCTTCAGACCGGCCATCTGAAGCAAAACCCTCTTTAACCATCAAAGCTTTTGACACGTCGTCAAAATCTTTTTGCACCTGCTAAGCTGATACAGCAAACGGTTCCTGCAGAACAAGCTGATATTGTTACGGCTCCTTAAGAGTCCCAGACGCGCAATTCCATCCATCTGTCGTGACTCGAGACATCTCTGGACTGGAGAAGTCGGTGCTGTGGTCAATCTACTGGACCTGGGTGCCAGAGGTCATCCGACCTCTCTGACCTTCAAAGAGGGTCTCCGAAAACGGGTGAAGTAGACACACAGATAGCGTCTGATGCCTTTTGATAATAATCAACTTCATAGCTGAACGCAAACCAAATTCTTTTACATCCAGAACTCAGCTCTCCTAGATACGGAAGTTCTGATAACATCGCATTCACACATAGGTTTCATACATCACATCTAGTTCCATCCATCACAGTAAATGTTAGTTAACCTGTCATGTTTTAATTGTTGGTAAAATAAATTCTTACTTTTATAAACCTGACTCTTTTCTGAATCAAAACGAAGTGTGTACTATCCCTTAATAAACAAAGAATCCTAGAATCTTCTGATTAAAACACAATAAGGACCAAGCAGGTTGATATTCTATATTTAGATAGAGTATCACAGCTTATTGGTCATAAGTAGAGGTAATATATATATATTGAGCTCTTAAAGCACTCAATTTACCAAACCCTACAATGGTCTCATTTAAACTTTTGAAACAACCAAAAAGTTTTTCGGTTAAAGTTTCAAACTGAGCTAATTTCTTTTCTCTTAAGAATGAGTGAATGATTTTAGTTTGTTAAACACAGAAAAACTTCCAACAGCTGCAGAGAACTGACCTCAGAACCTTCAGTCTACAGTCTGGACTCTCCAGGAAACCACAGAGCTCCTTCACTACAGAATCAGACAGGTTGTTACCGCTCAGGTCCAGTTCTGTCAGATGGGACGGGTTGGACTTCAGAGCTGAGGCCAGAGAAGAACAGCTGATCTCTGACAAGCCGCAGCTCCTCAACCTGAATGAAGAATAAAAGCAGTGAGCTGAAGCCAACAGGATGCAGGTTAAAACAGAAACATGAACTAAATGAAACTTTAAAACTCTTCTGAATGTTCGTTCTGTGTTTTGGTTCATAATCATGTGCGGGCAGCAGAGGGCAACATCGTCCTCTGCTGCCCGCACGTAAACGGAAGTGACGCCACGAACAGCTGGCGGCTCTGACAAAGGCGGATGTTCCGGCCGAAACGTGCCAGCCAAAGGTAAAAAACATCAAATGACCACACTGTATTAAATAAGAAAAAAGAAGATGATGAATCAAACTTTATTCCAGATAAAAATGTGTCCATATCACGAGACACCGAAGATAAAATAATAAATAATATAAACAAAGACAATAAAAGTATAAAATGTGTAAAACAAATCAAACACATTCCCATCACAAAGCATAAAGGCAGTTGTTCCAGTGTTTAAAAGGCCTGAGGAATACCTCGTGTCTCTATGTTAAAGCTGACAGGCTCCGACTACAATGTTAGCTGACAAACTCAAACCACGCATGAATTTCTACATGTAGTTCCTCAGTGGTGCATGAAAGGTAGGGACGTTACTCCTGACTAACATCTGACCTGCAGACGTCCATGGTGGGAGGAGCCTAAGGAGGATTCTAAATGCATCCTGATAAGCTACTTGTAGTTTCTTCATTCCAGCCTGACTTTAAGTGCAGCACAAGTGGGCCGTATAGAAGGGAGTACAAGAGGAAGGACAAAGGGCCACTTTAACCTGGTCTGAGCACATGCTACAGTTACTGTACCAGAGTGTTAGCCTGCAGGTACGGCTTACAGCACTGTCTCTTTACATCCTCATCATCACACACATCACTTCTTAGAATGGCCCCACATATCTGACTTCTCACCACATCCAGGACTTGGTTCATTAAATACAAGCTGGAAAGCTCAGCTTCTGATCCTCTTTAGTTGCAGCAATCATGACAAGACTCTTTTTAGGGTTCGACATGATGTCACACTGTTCACCATAGCTAGCAGCTGCTGCATGCCAGCACTGTAGGGACACAAGAGGACGAGATCTTCTGCATACATTCAATGATTTACAAGGAGGTGGCCCACCAAGCATCCAGTCTAGCGATCATTCAGAGCATCAGACATCAAGGTACAGCTTAAAGAGGACAGGAGACAAGACTCCACCTTGTCTGACTCCATTAGATACAGTGAAGGCTTCAGAGACTTCCATTCCCCACTGAACCTGCATCAGTTAGTGAGAGGACCACAAATGCTAAATCCTGATTCTATCTGCAGGGAGCCTCTACTTTGTAGTTGTAGGTCCAGTTTATGCTGATGAACTCTGTCAAAGGCTTTGGAGGCGTCTAAAAACACATAAAAACCGATGGATTCTGTCTCAGAGACGTACTTCCAGTTTCCTTTAGAGCACAGATACATAAGTCAGGACTACGCTGACTTTTAAACCACACTGATGATCAGTTGCTGCTATAGACTCTTGAAGTCTTTCCAGCAGAATCTGCTCAAACACTTTAGACAACCGTTGCCAGGGCAACTGGCCTGTTTTATCCATGCAGGATATTCTTCCAGTTGTTTCTTTCACCACAGGAAGTAAAAGAACTGATACCATGTGATCAGGTCAGATAGCACGCTTCAACAAACCAGTAAAGCACAATGAGAGGAACACATGGACTCTTCCACTAGCATACTACATGTGCTCTGCTGAGAACTGCTCAAGGCCACACGCTTTGTTTAATGACTTTTTCTCAGTAGCAAGACGGACTTCATCAGCTCAGACAATCAGGCCACAATTGTAGTGAATATTGAACCTTTCACTATTGACACAGTTAAACATCCTGCAATAGTGTTTCCTCCATATTTCAGCTATATTCTATCTCCAGACACCCCATCAATAGTTGCTGCTAGCAGAGACCTACTGAACTAAACCATTTAAATACAATTCATCTATTTTATTAAGTCAGAAACACAAAACCATGATGAACTGATGTTTAATATTTTATTCAGTAAAAGTTATTTAAAGGTTCAAACAGAAACTTGTTTTTGTTCTAAGATGTTTATTTAAACTTTTGGAAAAATTGGAAAGTTATAAAAAAAATTTAAATGTTTGACATGAAGAAAATATTTATAAATGATTTAATTCTGAAGAATGAGTGAATGATTTTAGTTTGTTAAACACAGAAAAACCTCCAACAGCTGCAGAGAACTGACCTCAGAACCTTCAGTCTACAGTCTGGACTCTCCAGGAAACCACAGAGCTCCTTCACTCCAGAATCAAACAGGCTGTTAAAGCTCAGGTCCAGTTCTGTCAGATGGGACGGGTTGGACTTCAGAGCTGAGACCAGAGAAGAACAGCTGATCTCTGACAAGTAGCATCTCCTCAACCTGAATAAAGAATAAAAGCAGTGAGCTGAAGCCAACAGGATGCAGGTTAAAACAGAAACATGAACTAAATAATTTAAACTAAATTAATAATTTTATTTTTCTGTTATTAATCAGAAATGACAACACGCCCTTTATGATCGCATTAAACCAAATGAAACAAATACTCTGAAAATGAGCCACAGCCTGCTTTTAATCCCAAATAAACTAAAGTCGTCACATCCTTGTTCACAAAAACACCAACCCAAAAAACCATAGACATAGTAGTTAACAGAATCAGACAGGACAAGACTTTACACAAAAGAACAAACCTCACAGCAGATGACATGGCACAACTGATGGGATAAAATAAGAGCAACAATGAAAAACACAACATAAACACACCAACAAAACCATACGCAACAGTTAGAAACAGACTAGTGCACCCAAAAGACAAGATACCAGCTGGACGTAAATGTGGAGTCGTTTACGAAATCCCATGCAAACTCTGCAATAAAACATAGATAGGAGAAACCGGACGCCAACTCAACACACGAACAATAGAACATAGAAAGGAGTGTGAGAAAGAAACAAGTCGAAAACACACAAGAGCAGCAAAACATGAAGCAGAAAGTACAATAAAGAAGTCAGCCGTAACAGATCACTGCACAAGAGAAAACCATGTAATGGACTGGGACAACACAAGGATCATAAACAGCGAACAACAGAAATACAAAAGATGGATAAAAGAAGCTATCGAGATAAGGAGACGTGGATGTGGGACCATGATCAGAGACGATGGAGTTTACTCATTGGATCGCGCATGGGACTGCATCATCGGAGAGGGGAGAGCGGGCAGCCGAGGGCGACAACGTCCTCTGCTGCCCGCGGATAAACGGAGTAGGAAGTGACGCCACCATCAGCGTCAGCTCTGAGGATGTTTTGCAGTCGACAAACGAAACGTACGTCAGCGAGGTAAAGAAAAACCTTTCCTGTGTTTTAAAAAGAACCAAAAATGGAATTAGAAACTAAACACAGTAAAAACACACCAAATATATTCTAATGACTATTTAGACGATTAATCTAACGACTAGTTTTCTGTTGCACGATTAATAAAAACCAGAGAATCTCAAATAAATACCCCAAAAATGTAATAAACTGGTCCTGTTAGAGAATAAACACTACAGGCCTTCCATTTTGTATAACATTGCTTTTATTGTGTTGCGGTGGGTTGTGTTCTGGTGACGTGTGGAGCTTCAGAGTGCCGGCTGCTGAGCCTGAGAGGTGGTTGGAGACGGAGTTTCTTTCTCCATGCTGCTTGTTTTTGTCACTCTTGTGTATGTGGCGAGTGGTGTTACGACCCTTCCTGGAGAGTCTGGCTCGTGTGCATAAAGGAAGGGACAATAACAGAAGATTTAAAAGTTAAAACGATGATCAGGTTTATTTACAAAGAAACTTCAATCTTTCCACCCACAGGTTGGGAATACTAACAAACAAAACTAATACGGGCTGTGAGGAATTAAAACAAAAGTACAAATAACTAGTGTTAAAGACGTTCCACTGGGAAAACACTACTGGGTTCTAGATCAAAATAAGGATCTCAAAAGGTACAAACTCTAAACTGGGTGGTCAAACCAAACTCAAGGTGATATTTTAACTAAATCAAAAGCCCACAGCGCTCTAAATGCATCCAAAAGGGAGATCTACACCACACAAAAGACCAACTCTAGACCAAAACGTTACAGTTTATGCAAACACAAGCTTTGGTAGCTTTACCAACGTTAAGCTCAAGTTACCACGTAGAAATAAACCAAAAAGACCCAGCACACTAACCAGCGCAGAGGAGAGACAGCTACCACAAGAACAGCTCTCCTGACGTCTGAAAGAAGATTCCTTATGATATGAAGGGGCTATTCCAGGTGATTTTCTACATCTGCCATAGAGACGAGGCAGCGCCTTTGACCCCGGAGGTTGTTGTCTGTTGCCGGGAGATGAACGCGGGCGAAACAGGAAGAGAATCTGGTAGCGGAATCTTACATAAAATTAGTGGATCACTAAATAAAAAAGCTTGAAAAACTATAACTATTTGCACTACCTACAATTTATCTGGATGTGTGTAACATTTCTATGGCGCACCCCCTGGCTACGCTACACTACGCTACAGCTCTAATGAGGATATTGGCCGTGTTCCAGATGAGCCAGTTCTGCACAGATTAGATCACCGGTGATCGGCGAGCAGTGCATGCCGGTTAGATTCGTGTCCGACTTGACGCCGACTTGCTCTGACGTCATGCCTACGTAAATGGCCTGTATTTGATATAGCGCCTTCTAGAGTCCTAGAACCCCCCAAGGCGCTTTACAACACAATCAGTCATTCACCCATTCACACACACATTCACACCCTGGTGGGGATGAGCTACAATGTAGCCACAGCTGCCCTGGGGCACACTCACAGAGGCGAGGCTGCCGAGCACTGGTGTCACCGGTCCCTCCGACCACCACCAGCAGGCAACGTGGGTTAAGTGTCTTGCCCAAGGACACAACGACAGCGACAGACTGAGCGGGACTCGAACAAGCAACCTTCCGATTACGGGGCGAGCACTTAACTCCTGTGCCACTGTCGCCACCGTAGCCAACGATAACCTCGTGAGATCAAGGCGGTCGCAGATTTTGGAGCAAGGCGCTGCAGTTGCTCTCCACTGGCTGTAAAACCTAGGGCATGATGGGAAATGCCTGGCTCTCACCTGATCTAAGATCTGATTGGTTCCCATTTTGAGCAAAACATCCAGTGATAGAACGCAAAATGTTAGTTGGTCACATGTATTCTGTAAATCATGTTACGTTGATGATGACAACTATATAGGCCATAAAGAGAAATGTGATTTGTGTTCTTTTGTCACGTTTCCTATTAAAACCCTACAGCTGCTAACCTTTACTTGTTATTACAGTCATATCTTCACATGTACATGTCTACAATATATGATATCCACAAGCATGTGTGTCAGTTGCTAACAAGCACCAGAATGAAAATGTAAAATTAAACAAGTGTGAACGCTAATGTGATATCTTCAGCCATCGTCACCTGCGAGCGACACATGTAGGGAAATCTGTCCGACTTAAACGCCGGCTTTCAGCCACTCCCCCTGCTGCGTCCGTCTGCTCTCGTCTCTTTTCCAGGCGAGGCGCTGCTCAACTCGAACACGGCCATTGTTGAATGCTGGCATCAGGTCACATGATCTCAATATTTGACACCCCCCCCCCACGTGTCCAGAAACTATTTAAGGTTAAACACAGAAAACCTCCAACAGCTGCAGTGAACTGACCTCAGAACCTCCAGTCTACAGTTTGGACTCTCCAGTCCAGAACTCAGAATCTTCATTTCAGAATCAGACAGGAAGTTCACAATCAGGTCCAGTTCTGTCAGATGGGACGGGTTGGACTTCAGAGCTGAGGACACAACTTCAAGGTGAGTCTCTGAGAGTCCAGAATAATCACCAGCTCTGTGATGAGAGAAAAGTTCAAGTCAGTTGTAATAAAATCAGAGAATCTGTCTGATAAACATCCTGAAATCAGATGATGACTAAACAGTGATGTCATCATCTCATGAACATCTGCTCTTCGCATCTGTGCTTCATCTGGTCCATCTGACTGTCTGACATGAGCCCGTGAATCTGTTCAGTCTCTTTCACACCTGCAGACTTTTAATGAGAATCTTAGTTTAGCTTTAATCTGCAGATGAAGGAGGGAACATGGCGTTCCATTTCTGCTTCCATCATGTCCACAGTCTGTCAGCAGGATCTGATCCAGAGTCAGAACCAAAATGTCTGCTGTAGGAAAACATTTGGACTCTTTTCTAGTTTCCATCTGAGCTCAGAACCTTTAGACTGAGTTCAGCTCAGTGAACAGGTCCAGTTGGAAAGACGATCTTTTTGCTTCCAGTTCCTGTCAGCTCCAACTGTTCAGGTGCACACGCAGGAACATGCTGCTGATGTCCAGCTTTCAAAGTCCACAACATCAGAGATTTAGCAGGACTGGGATTCAGAGCTCTGATGTGGAACAGTGAGGTGTGTGTGGACACACTTCACCAGAAAGCAGTGATGGATTTGTTGTTTGTTCTTGAAAAAGGAACCAAATAAACCAAGTTCACCCTCAACAAAGCTCTGATGCAGAAGGAGGCAGCAGAGAGTGTTGATCTGTCCACAATCAGACTCTCAACCTTCTGATTCACTTTGACGTCTTTTTCATTCACTAAAGTGATTTTTCTGTTTAAACTGCACAGCTCTAATAACTACTACTGACTGATGATGCTCATCAACACATCTGGACTCACCTGAACTTTCTGCAGTTCCTCACAGCTGGAATCAGTCTCAGTTGTCCCCATGATGATGCGTTGTACTTCTGCAGGTCCAACTCATCCAGAACCTCCTCTGACATCAGCAGCATGTAGGCCAGAGCTGAACACTGGATCTCTGAGAGTTCCTCTGATCTGTTCTCTGACTTCAGGAACTTTTGGACCTCCTGATAAACTGAGAGGTCCTTCATCTCCATCAGACAGTGGAAAATGTTGATGCTTCTGTCTGGAGAGACTTTATAACTGTTCATCTCCTTCAGGTTGTTGATGGTTCTCTGGATGGTTCCTGGACTGATCTGTGTCTGACCCAGCAGACCTCCTAAGAGTCTCTGGTTGGACTCCACAGAGAGGCCATGAAGGAAGCGGACAAACAGGTCCAGGTGGCCGTTTTCACTGCTGAGGGATTTCTCCATGACTCTCTTCAGGAAGTCCTCCAGAGATGAGTTTCTGTAGTCTCCTCCCAGGAAGTTCTTCATCACCTCCATGTTCCTGCTGCTGAAGCAGTGGAACATGTAGACTGCAGCCAGAAACTCCTGAACGCTCAGATGAACAAAGCAGTAGACTGGTTTCTGGAACATCACACACTCTCTTTTGAAGATCTCTGTACAAACGCCTGAGTACACCGAGGCCTCTGAGACATCAAGACCACACTGCTCCAGGTCTTCTTGGTAGAACATGATGTTTCCTTCCTCCAGATGTTCAAACGCCAGCCTCCCCAGCTTCAGAAGAAGCTCCCTGTCAGCCTCCATCAGCTCCTGTGGACTGGTCTCAGGTCCTTCATGGTACTTGTTCTTCTTCCTCTTGGTCTGAACCAGCAGGAAGTGTGAGTACATGTCAGTCATGGTCTTGGGCAGCTCTCCTCTCTGCTCTGTAGTCAACATGTTCTCCAGAACTGTAGCAGTGATCCAGCAGAAGACTGGGATTCCACACATGATGTGGAGGCTCCTGGAGGTCTTGATGTGGGAGATGATTCTGCTGGACAGCTCTTCATCACTGAACCTCCTCCTGAAGTAGTCCTCCTTCTGGGCGTCAGTGAAGCCTCGTACTTCTGTGACCCTGTGGATACATGAAGGAGGGATCTGATTGGCTGCTGCAGGTCTGGAAGTGATCCAGACCAGAGCCGAGGGAAGCAGGTTCCCCTTGATGAGGCTTGTCAGCAGCACCTGGACTGATGACCTCTGTGTGACCTCAGAAACCAGCTGACTGCTGCTGAAGTCCAGTGAAAGTCTGCTTTCATCCAGACCATCAAAGATGAAGAGAAGTTTCCAGCCAGCCAGCTTCTCTGCTGGGATCTTCTGGAATGTTGGATAGAAAACACGGAGCAGCGTGAGAAGACTGTGCTGCTCATCTCTGATCAAGTTCAGCTCCCTGAAGGAAAGCAGAAGCATCACATGGACATCTTGGTTCTCCAAGCCCTCGGCCCAGTCCAGAGTGAACTTCAGCACTGAGAAGGTTTTTCCAGCTCCAGCGACGCCGTTGGTCAGAACCACTCTGATGGCTCCATGTTGCTCAGGTAAGGCTTTAAAGATGTCCTGGCACCTGATTGGAGCATCATGGAGCCTCTTGGTCTTGGAAGTGGTCTCCAGCTGCTCCACCTCATGTTGGGTAAGAACCTCTTCACTCTGTCCCTCTGTGATGTAGAGCTCAGTGTATATCCTGTTCAGGAGGGTTCTACTTCCTGGTTCATCACTTCCTTCAGTCACACGTTCACATCTGCTCCTCAGACTGAGCCGATGTTCTTCTAGAACCTCCTGCAGACCAACATCTGCTGAGAAATGTGACACAGAGCAGATCTGAATACTGCAGCAGAACCTCCAACATTTTATTGGTAGTTCAATCTGAATCATCTTCATAAAGATCAGGGGTCTCATTTACCAAACATTGTGTAGAATCCTTACTAAAACCGTACTTAAGCTCAGCAAAAATAATGCACCTGCGCCAAGTAGGTTTGTGATCTATCAAACATGGAGTACGCACAGCTGCACGCAATCTCCGCTTCATAAATCAGAGACTAATGAGAAAGTTTCTCAGCTGCTTTTTATTCACATCCCGCCCTCACCACGCCCACTTACTGCCATAAATAGTCAATGCAAAGTGCCTTGTGGACCTCATGCATTTACATAAGCCGGCTGTTGCAGCGCTCCGCCAATGACATGGCGACCGTAGATCAAGGCAGATCAAGGCAGCGCTATTTCACAAACAGAAATTGAGGTACCTGTGGGTGAGGTGGAGAAATGAAAGGAAGTACTTTTGAAAAACAAATAAGAGAAAATCCACGGAGTGGCACAGCGTTGCTGAAGCCGTCAATGTTGTGAGTTCTTTAGAGAGATCTGTGGCGGATATAAAAAAAATGGTCTGATCAAGATTTGAATCCCCAGACTCCCGGGTGAAAGGCGCTAACCAGTCAGCCAGACAGGGATCTCATCCAGCAAAGTAGCCAGGGCGCATGATCAATCGGGTCACGGTGACAGGACGCTCACACTGTCAGTCTGTCACAGATGCATGACATTCTGTCTACTTCTGCCCCCCTGCTGATATTCAGCATTCTGTATTCTGCGCTTCAGGCTGTGTGTGTGTGTGTGTGTGTGTGTGTGCGCGCGCGCACGCGCGTGCATGTGGAGGGGGGGGGGGGGCTTGTTCTGTGTGTGTATGAAGCGGTACAAGTGATAACGCTGCAGGAGTTCATAATTGTATCCTTCTCAGCAGCAGCACTGCAGGTGCTCTCCATGTCCAAAATGTGTGTAAGCAAGGTCCTTAGTCAACTTAAAGTTGAGCACATTTTTCCGCTAAGTTTTCTTTCATAAATCCTGAAGTTTGCGTGGAAAATTGCTTACGCAGTTTTCTGACCCCGTTTTGTGCGTGAGCAAGCTTGATAAATGAGGCCCCTGAAATCTTCATTCTGAACCAAACACCGTGTTTTAAACCAACAGGTAACCAGAAACGTCTCACCTGGTCCTGAGCTGCTCTGATTGGCTGTCTGCAGTCCACTTCTGGTTCTGGATCTGTTCCCACATTGGGGACAGGAGGAGAGTCCTGATGGAGCAGACTGGTCCCAGTATGAGGTGGTGCACTGTCTGCAGAACCAGTGTCCACAGCTGGTAGAGACTGGATCCTTCAGGACGTCCTGACACAAAGAACTGCAGGACAGCTGGTCCTCCTCACCAACAGCACTCCTCTTCCTCCCTCTGTGAAGACATTTTTTCATCATGACTGAGAACCAACTGGACTCTGATGTTCTGGAAGCTTCTTGTTGGCAGCAAACAGCCTGTATAGAGCTCCAGATTTAGGACTTCAGACATGAAATGTTAAATGTTTTCAAACTTTTAGACAAACTTTCATCCTGCTGTGATTCTGGAGAAACGTCTTCAGACTAAACAATAAAATCTCTCATTTAATCACAACTGAACAAACTGACAGAAAGTCAGAGTAAAGACTGTTTCTGATGCTCTGATAAGAGCTGCATTTCCACCTGGTCAACTTTGTTTTTAACACTTTAGAACTCCACTAATTCATCAGTTCTACCAGAAATCAGCAGAAATCCTGTTTTTCTGTCTGAGGAGTCAAATGGATCAGTTAGAAACACTTTTCTTACTTTGTGTCTGAAGGTCCAGGTCCACTGAAGTTTGGAGGTTTTATCATGGACCCGTCACTCTTCATAGACAGACAGCTGGGTCCTGGAGGTTCTGCTCTCCATCTGTGGTTCTGACCTCTGAAACACAAACATGTTGTAACTCAGATCACATCAATCTGTGAGAAAATCTCTGATGAAACCATTTCAGATGAACATCAGTAAATTCTCCACAATGGATCTTTAATGTTTGTAACATCCTCTCAGATGATCAGAAATCTAAACTCCATCATCTTCAGCCGCTGCATGTCTGATGTACAAAGAAGGAACAAAGTAAATCTGCCGGTTTCTGGAAAAAGTTCCTGACATCATAATTCACCTTCAGAGACTCTGTGTTAAATTCTGAAAACAAGTCACATGCTTTTATTTTGTAGGATCACATTCCCAGCATCATTTCCTCCATGGCTCTTCGAAGACATTGTGTCTGTAGAAAGTCTCGTGCTGCTCAGAAACATCTCTGGGAGTTTGACTCGTGACTTTTTATTACATTTAACATCCAACGGATCTCCAACCAGGAGAATTCAGGACTTTTTCAGCCACGTTTCTTCCTCAGAGATGAAGGTTCAGAACTGTCCTTCCAGCTTTTAATCAGCTGCTTTGAACAGTTTTTCCAACAATCTCTGAACTGGTTTTGTTTTCTTGATGCAGATGGATAACTGGACCCTTCTGAACCAGAGGAACTGATCAGAAACAACCACAGGATGTCTTCACCATGATGGAGGAGAAGCTACTGACTGCATGACTTTGAGCTCTGATTGGAGTAATTTAGCCTTTATTTAACCTGGAGGGTCTGTATTAGGGTTGTCACGGTGTGAAAATTTAACCTCACGGTTATTGTGACCAAAATTATCACGGTTTTCGGTATTATTGCGGTATTTTTTTTAAACGTGTTACATTTTCAGTCAACTAAATATACCCTTATGTCAGGAAAATATTGTCCTTGGGTTGTGTCTAAATTTTGCCTAAAATTTGTTATTTTGTAATTATGTTTTTTTTTTACATTTTTCCCCTCAAGTGTTTAAAATACCAATATTTGCCCATAACTTCTTATTTTTGTCTGTTTGATGTCATCATTTTAAAAATATTAGACCAGATGATACTCAGTACTCAAGTAGCCTTCTAATCAGATACTTTTTTACCCTTACTTGAGTAAAAAACCCTATATCAGGAAAATGTTGTCCTCGGTTTGTGTTCTTCCAATGAGCTTTGCAGATTTGGGAAAATGTCATCAGGCAGTAATCTTTGTTAAATTCATAATTATTCTCGGAGAGAGACCATCTCTTATCTGCCCCTGGGAGCCCCGTAATGCATAGCGTCATTTCAACATGGGGGTGTCCGCGACACGGTTTATATGCAGGCAGCGGCGCTGCGGCTGCTTTATATAGCGACTCGTTGCATTCTCCCTCAACCCAAATCCTCGGATCACGCATTTTAGCTTTTTAAATTTTACTTTTTTTAATGATTACGTGGCACTTTGACTTCCATATGTAACACATCGGCATCTGCCCCTTTTTTACGGCTTTTTTTTACATTGTCGCTACTTCTATCATGTTAGTGTTTTTGTTTTTTTTACCATCATTTCTACATCCATCACGTCCCAGAGAAGGTTAAACCAACATCAAACCCAACGTTTGGAGCTTGTAAGCTCCACACACTCTCGTGCAGCACCAGCTGTCTGATGCTGCAGCAGCATCAATCTTCCCAGATGGATGAGTGAATTTCTTCATCAGTCAATATTCTGCTTCATAATCAGAGTCAGTCATGACCAGACAAAGTGATCAGTCAACAAAGACCAGACCTGCCGGCAATTATACGATTTATCTAATATTTGCGCTCTTCATGCTGCGTGCATCTCCTCCTCTCCCCGACTGTGAGCCTCTCGGCGGGAAGCGTTTTTCAAGCTCCAAAAAGTTGCTCAGCCTGAAGGTTACACATCTCCACTATCTTCTGGTGTAAAGTAGTAACTTCATGAGGGATCATATTTGTAGATGAGACTTGTTAAAGTCAGCAATGAGGCATTGGCGCTTATAACGAGTAAGTCCCAACACTGACAACAATGTACTGAAACTAGAACCAACATGCATAAACAGATCGGTCCTGCCTTGTTAGGTATATTTTAACCAAAAGAACGCACACCAGAGAAGATTGGTTGATTTTATGAGCTGCAGCAGAGAGCCGAAAGCATGATCAGAACATTGCTTTCCAACTCTGCCTTCCGCTCCCACTCCAGCACTTTTAGAGAGAGAAAATGAGGACAAAGACCTATTCATCATAGCCTACGCTAACCAATAGCATTGCTTCTGAGTTAGAACTGACCAATAACAACGTAACTTCTACCTAAGGCGGGACCTACAAAAAGGAAGTCTCAAGTTACAGGAGTGGCTGCTGAAGGCCAAAAACTGATGACTCACCCCAAAATTCCACTACCTCCGCTCCGCCCCCGCCTTCCGCAGCCGCTCGCTTCCGAACTCAATTTTTACTGGTACCCGCTCTACAACGGCTCCGCTCCGGTGCGGAGACCTGAGGTGGGCAAACAGGCATGCGCGAGATTTTCGAGATCTTGCGATACAGTCCGAGCAATAAATGCGGAAGTTAGATCCAAACACCCGTTGCGTGGGAGAAGCATCGAAATGAACTGTTTAATCTGCCCATCATTTGTGTTGAGAGATCAGCAGTGTTTGGATCAACAAAGGGTGACTGCTTTGATAGGAGAAACTGTATTTATGGCTTATTTTTGTGCATTTAAAGTTCAGCCGCCATTGATAGTTGTTAAAAGTTGTTAAACCTGTGCATATGAAACAAAAAGAACGCTTTTATTGATTTATTGTAAAATAAAGGAAGTTGTGCTTGCTCCCTTTCCTGTTGGGCGGTTGTGATTTCTGTCCATTGACTGCGGAGGTGCTCCGGCGTCCGGCAAAAATAGAATCAATCCTATTTTTGCCGGATGGCGGAACGGCGGGCGGCGCACTGTGCCGCACGGTCACAGTAGTGGAATAGCTCTGATTGACTACAACAGGACCGATTTTGCTGCGGAGTTCGTGCCGGAGCGGAGCAGAGGTAGTGGAATTTTGGGGTCATTCAGCCTGTTGCTAGGCAGACTATTTCTACCAATCCCCACAGCATACCAGAGGTTGACTGAAAGGAAAAAAACAGTCCTGACTAACATTTGATTACTTAAAAAAGAACATTAAAAGAGTAATACATTAATACTAGGGCTGCACAATATATCGAAAAATCATCGTCATTGCGATAACAGGACGTGCGATAGGCCCATCGCAAAGCACGTCAAAAACGGCGATAAATGTTTGGTTCAAACATTTCCATCCGTGTCATACATGACCTTTTTGTAAACCAGCTCTGTTTTTTATGCGGAAGTATTATTTGACCAATCAAATGTAGCCCTTCTGATATGCGGTCAATCAGATGGGTCCGTTCACGTAATACGCCCGCCCCCTACGTAGACCCTTAGGAAGGGTGGAACGCAACACCCGAACAGGTAGCAGCGCCGTTCCCTTGTTCATCATGCTGGCTCAGAGCAACGAACGCACTTTGTGCTGAGGTTTCTGGAACCAGCACTGTTTTCAAACGTGAACTGAGTCCGCTCGGTGTTGTTAAGCAGCTGATAATAACCAGGCTGACTCCGACACGTGCCGGTGAACCAACACACCTACCTCCATGTCGCTAGTGTTCCACCGGGTGGTGATGTTAGCCCCACGCTGCGGTTAGCTTCCAGCTAAAAGGCTACAGCACTCTCCTCCCAGTCCCACCCTGCTAAAGAGGGCCTGGAAAAGTTCCCCCACACATCAAAGTGATTTTTCATCTATGAGCTTTTATAACCTTGTTAATCAGGATAGTTGATTTGAGTAGCAGGTGCAGCTGCATATTTTTTCAATAAAAACGTTATGTTGTAATGGAATTCATGTATTAGTTTTTGTTTGCTTTGAACCCAGAGCAGGCGTCACACGCCAGACGACATCAACACTGCATACTTTAGTATTTGTTCATTTATCGTGAGTAATATCGATATCACAATATTAAGCACTGTTATCGAATATCGCAGGTTTTCCTAATATCGTGCAGCCCTAATTTATACATTAAAAATCCCTGAAACGCCTACTTACACTGTTGGTCTTGTTTAAATATGCAGTAATTGTTGCTTGCTTTTTTCGCTTCATCCTGCATCCTAGCAGCAACCACTCTGGAGTTGGTGTTTGTTTAGGTCATGCTGCATTCAATGTAATTGGAAAAAGAAGCTTCAAGTGCTTAACCTCCGATTTTGTTTTCTTTCTGGCCTTAGTGCGGGGGACGGATCGGGGTGGATCTGAATCTAGGGGGGACAGATCCCCCCGTCCCCCACCCTATCTGCGTGCCTGGGTGAGGGGAAGGTAAAATTGCAAGAGGGTAAAGGTCACAATTCAGTGAAATCTCCGTTTTACCGCGGGCGTCGAAAAGCGACGCTCTGGCCCAGCGCATCGCCTCCAGACGTTTTGGGAGCCCCAACGCATCTGAAACAAACGCTTGGTCACCCCGTGTCAGTTTTAGCCACTTCGGTTGTGAGAATGTATTCGATCACTTTGCACAGAAATCTGGATTATTAAAAAGTACTCTGAGTTCATTAATAAAATCCCATTTTCACTTTCAACAACATAGAAACAATTTTGAGTTGAAAAAGAAAATCAGTTCCAGTTTTAATCAACCTGCATTTTAAACAAACACACCACACACACACAGCACGGGCTTTTCAATAACCACAACTGTTACATCCACCAATGAGACGGCTCAAAAAGCTGTCGCAGAGCCGGTGTAGCGGTCACACTTTATAGCGTGACGACTGCAAATTAATTATGACCAATAAGATGTGATTATTCCATATAAATATGAAATATCAACCTGATTGATCTCTGAATGTTTAATCAGAAGAGTTTAGGATTATTTGCTTGTTCAGGGACCATAAACACACTTCGTATTAATTCAGGCAGAGTGAAGTATAAAGTTAAAAGGAATTTTATTCTTTTCTAAACTAATTATAATACATGACAAGCTATGTGATGGAGTGTATATGCGGTAATGTAATGTGAGTTGTATCTCTGTTCTCTGGTTTCTCTCTGTTTTTTTCTTCTTTGGGTTTTATTATTGTTTTATTGTATTTTATTACGTGTTTTGTGTAAAGTGACCTTGGGTGTCCTGAAAGGCGCTTTTAAATAAAATGTATTATTATTATTATTATTAGTTGTAGGTGGTGTAAAGTAGATGTGTATCAGAACCATTGTATCTGAAAGAGATTGTGAATTCTGGGTGTAAAGAATTTTGGTCTGCTATAAACTAGAGAGTTGATTATTAATAAAACAGCATCAGACGCAATCTGCTGTGTCTACAAACCCTGATTGGAGACCCCCGGTGAGATCTGGAATGTCAGGTAATGTGGTGGATCTCAAGGCACCGAAGTTCATAGAATAACCGCAATGCGACCAGTCCGGTCTTGGGATGTCTCCAGGTCACAGCAGGCAGGAAGGTTTGTTGCGTCTAAAACAGATGTGCTCTTAAGGAGCCGTATGGCTGTGTCAGGTGGCAGTGTGCCAACAGGTTTGACTGTGTGTCAAAAGAGAAAGGTGTCTGAAGGAGGATGGTTCCGAATTGGCCACTTCGGAGTTCCGCTTGAAACTGTATAACTCGGAAAGTCATTCTAGTTTTAATAATCCACGTTATCATTTCTGGCGAATCAGAAATTGACTAGGGCTGCAACTAACGACTATTTTAATAGTCGACTAGTCACTGACTATTGAAACGATTGCAACCACCTTATTTTTCAACATGGACTTAATAAATTGGTCATTCAACGCGATTGATAAGATTTTTTCTACAATGAGGACGGAGGAGGGGGCTCACGCTTGTCCTCAGGGGACACATGCAGCGGGATATATGTTCGATTCCTGGAAAAAGTGGAATATCATCTGTCTCTCTCAGCTGTCCATTGAGGACGTCAAAGATTTGTGGATATTTGGCCTGATTATCGTTGGATTTCTTCTGATTGGAGTGGGAGGATATCTGGCTTTCCGTAAAATTGGGATGACGGGAGCGATTGGAGGGCGACCCGCATCCATGGACGGCACCGTCCATGTGGATACCTCACAGACTGGGACGTTGCTCGAGGTGAATCGCAAGCTGGACAATGTCTTAGCTGCGTTACCAGTATTAGCGCGCAGGATTGATAACATCTCGGAAAGGGTCACCGGACGGTGTGGAGATGTTTAATCACTGAATTGGCTTCACTGGAGGACTTGAATGATCAATACAGACTTAAGGCAGAGAGAAAAATTATCTCTGTCTGATCCAAACAAAGTTTCTGTTATCGAATCTGACGCCATAAGCAGCCTTGGAGTTGCATGCAAAACCCCCACGCTGGAAGGAATGCTGACAAATGCTGTGAATCTCTATCCACCCACCCCCCTGCCTTCAGATTGTGGTCTCCACCGAGGTCATCAAGCTGAAGGACTCACTGCTCTCTATGCTTCCTCATGACCTCCCTCCCACCTGTTGGTCTGCAGCTGGTCGATGCGCCGCAGTGGCAGCTCCCATTGGAGGCTTCAGGATCCTGCCCACCCCCACCTCCCCATCGGACTCTGATGTTGTACACGTGCTGTCTGTGCTTCCATGTCAGGTGTTTTTTTTGCATTCGAGTGCTACACCCTGCTGGTGTAACCCTGTTAATGCCTTTTTTTTCTCCCTCCCTGAACTTCACTCATGTAACACCCTTTTCATCTAACTATTAAGGTAGCGCGACTCATGTTGCGAATGACCGCAGACACCAATTCTTGTTATGTCTTACCCACGTATGTCTGATCTTTGAATTGTGTGTGCTGAAACTGAATTTCATTTCTCTGTATGTCCTGCACATGTGGAGAACATGACAATAAATGACTTTGAATCTTGAACTTTGAATCTTTGAATCTTTGACTAATCGAATAATTATTTAATTCTTCTTTAATTTAGCATGAGATTGCTTTAATTATGTGAAAAATGATAATAAACACAAGAAAGATGGGTACTTCAATGGAAAATGTATATTTTATTGAACTTTGCTGCTGATAGGCCAATTAATACTAAAAGTAAATAAAAATACCCTGTCTAACATCAATTAGGCACAGTGCTCAGTCAGTATAGACATAAATTCATAAATAAAATTAAAATACTTTTGTCAGGCACAGTCAGGCATAACATTAAATCTCTCTTTTTTAAAAGCAAAAATACATTAAAAAAAAAATGTACAATGTACATCCAAAACAAAACGTATTGGCTTTCGTGTTATTTAAATATCACCAAGGTGAGTCAGACTGTTTCATTCAACTGTCCGACGTGCTTTCTCTTTAAGTGTTCATGCATCAGCGAGGTGCTGCCGTGATACGCAAGGACTGCTTTGCAAATAATGCAGGTGGTGTTTTTATTCACCGAATCCAGGCTACAATTAGGGCTGAAACGATTCCTCGAGTACCTTGAATAATTCGAGTACAAAAAATCCTCGAGTCAAATTCTCTGCCTCGAGGATTCGTTTAATTCATATTTAATTAATTCATGGCTTTGCAAACGCACGGAGTCATGTTTCACCCGGACCGAAATAAGTGACGCACATGCCCACTGGACTGCGAGTAGCGAATGTAACTTAACTTTCTCTTAAGCCATGGCGGACAACTTGAACCCCGGTGGAATGCGAAAAAGACAGAAAATGTCAAAGTTGTGGGACCATTTTTCACGTCGTAAGGTGGAAAACGTAGTCCAGTATAAATACTGTAAAATGGATTTAGCCGACCACAACACCACATCCTCCATGCTGTAGCACCTGTAAATGTCACTTCTGCAAGCGGACTTGGAGCCTCTACAAGATAATGCATTTTAGCCTGTATTTCTATATATTCTGCGGACACTGTGCGACTTTTTTGTTTGTAGCACTCAGTTTCAGCTCACACCGTACATCTGGTAGCAACACGTCGGACATAAAATGTGCTAAAAATAGCAGTTTTTACACAATATGTCGGTCTTTTTATTGTGTTGTTATTGATATTTGTTGTCCCTCGGGATTGCTGCAGGAGGACACGGGTATTTATGAGAGTGGCGGAGGAAAATGAAAGAAAGTAAATAAATGTTTTGTGATCAGTATAATTTGCCAAAACCACAGCAAACATGCTTTCTCGACAATCCTTGTTATTGTGTGAGAAAAAAAGTGTAGAAATTAAAACGGACGTGTGTTAATAGGGAAACAGCCGGCGAGCTGTTTGCGCCGTGAGCGGTTCTGGTTCTGTTTGGGCCGCAGCCGCTCGCAGCGCTACTTCAACAGTTATCCTCCTAGTTTCTGTCTGGCTTGCAGGCTAGCAGATTCTCACACGAGGGGAAAATCGGCTCAGGTTGTTTACTTATTTTTTGCACACGCATTTGTTTACTGTGAAGTAAAGTTGAAGTGCTGAAGTTTTGAAAACTAATTTTGAATAAAACTTGAAGAATAACTGGCAATTGCTCATTTTGAGAGGTCTTTCATATTTTATAACATGCTATTTTATATAATGGTTTACAAACACAAAAGGGTAATTTATTAGAGTACTCGATTAATCGAAAAAAATATTTGATAGAGTACTCGACTACAAAAATATTCGATAGCTGCAGCCCTAGCTACAATGCTCCCAAACTTTAGATGTTTTGGCACGCGTAGCTACTGTGTTGGATGCCGCCATTTCTGTGATATGACGATCATTCAGCATATCTTGGCTTGGACAGTCCTCTACCGTGCACCACCTTGCCACAGGAGTCCCCCGCCTCGATTACTGCAATGCCCTTCTAAGTGGTCTTCCAGGCAGTACTGTGAGACCTCTTCAAATGGTCCAGAACGCAGCGGCGCGTCTGGTCTTCAATCAGCCTAAAAGAGCACACGTCACCCCTCTGTTCATTGAGCTCCACTGGCTACCGCTAGCAGCACGCATCAAATTCAAATTGCTAACACTAGCATACAAAGTCCGAGATGGTACGGCTCCCATCTACCTGAATCCTCTTGCAAAGGCTTACGTCTCGGCCCGACAGCTCCGGTAATAACAGAATTGTCGGCTAGCAGTGCCTACACTACGCTCAGGACAATGCAGACTTTTCTCATGCATCGTTCCACAAATGTGGAATGACCTTCCAAGCACTACCAGAACTGCGGCTTCCTTTTCAATTTTCAAGAAACTCCTGAAGACCCTGCTCTTCAGAGAGCATCTTCTTAACTAGCATCCTCCCTGCACCCGTCCCCCCTCTCTACTGTCCACTCCTTGTTCCCTCCTCTCCATGACTGATGTCAATGTTGTTGTTGTTGTTACTGTTGTTGTTAGCCTCAAGGGCAAAATGCCGATTATCACTTGTAAGTCGCTTGGACAAAGGCGTCTGCTGAATACATAAACATATGACGCTCAGCAGAGAAGCTATTGCGCATGTGCGACTCTCAGTAGAGATTGTAATGAAATGAGATTACAGCCGGTCAAACTGTACGTTCACAGCATGGTGCATATATATGCAGATCACCCTGATGTTGACCCTTTTTGTCACAATTTTGCTCAGGATTAGGGATTTAGCAAAGACGGCCAAAAATCACACAGTGTGATCCCGGCATTAAACCCTTTAAACTCCACTAATTCATCAGTTCTACCAGAAATCAGCAGAAATCCAGTTTTTCTGTCTGAGGAGTCAAATGAATCAGTTAGAAACACTTTTCTTACTTTGTGTCTGAAGGTCCAGATTCACTGAGGTCTGGAGGTCTATCCTTGGACCAGTCACTCTTCATAGACAGACAGCTGGGTTCTGGAGGTTCTGCTCTCCATCTGTGGTTCTGACCTCTGAAACACAAACATGTTGTAACTCAGATCACATCAATCCGTGAGAAAATCTCTGCTGAAACCATTTCAGAAGCTCTGAACACACAAACTGCTGCCGAGAATCAGAAGTTTCATGTTTGTAACTGAGGTCAGATGAAAGCTTCTCTAGATGATGGACATCAGAGAGGAGAAACCTAAACAAGTTCAATCAGCTTCATCAAAACTTTTCTTACTTTGTGTCTGAAGGTCCAGCTCCACTGAGGTCTGGAGGTCTGGACGGGGAGGAGCTGCTCTTCATAGGTGGACAGCTGGGTCCTGGAGGTTCTGCTCTGTTCTCCTCTTCCTCCACAGAAACGTCCATCTTCCTCTTCAGTCAGTCTGAGAGGAACCAGTTAGACTGACTGGGATTCACCAGTAAAGAATCAGGAATAAAGAGTCAGATGGAGAGCTTCACTCAAAACAAACAGAAAGACCTCTGGAACTCATTTCCACAGGCAGAATAATGAGTCATATAACATTTAATAGGAAATATATATATAACCGAGACTGAATGAGGAGAGTGGATGTCCACTGATCAGAATGTCTGTGAAGGTTCTCGGTCATCCAGGTCATTGTAGTCTAAGGAGCTTTGAAAGAAAAGCGTCTGGACTTCTTTGAGTTGCTTGAAGACGTTTCACCTCTCATCCGAGAGGCTTCTTCAGTTCTAAGGTCAAATTCTTCTTCTTCTTCTTCCTTTCCGGTTTAAATGGCGGGTGGCAACCAACTTAAGGTGCATTACCGCCGCCTACTGTGCAGGAGTGTGAGTCAGAGCGAGGAGAGAAAAAAAAAAAAAATATATATATATATATATATATATATATATATATATATATATATATGTATATATATGTTTCAAAGCTTTTACACTAGCACCCCAAGCATAACCTTTTAGACACCTCATGACATTTAAAACTTTTTTACATCTTTCCTCAATATTACACACATTTTCTTTCCAAGTTAACTTACTGTCAAAAACAACCCCCAAATATCTAAAATTGTTCACCTGTTCTATGATCTCACCATATAAACGGAGATTCATTTCCACCTTTCTCTTCTTCGTAAACACCAAACATTTTGTTTTAACAACCGAGAACTTAAAACCCCAATCATACGACCATTGTTCTACCTTGGAGATTTCAGCTTGCAATTTCTGTTGCACGTGTCTGACATTTCGTCCTCTTTTCCACAACATCCCATCATCCGCAAATAGTGCCCTGCCAAAATCATACCCTAAGGTCAAATGGTGGAGAGTCCCAGATTTAAACCCAGTGGGAGTTTTCCCCCGAAAAGGGAACAAAAGACCCCCTGATGATCTTCTACATAAACACATGAGCCAAGGTGTGAGGGTGGGTGTGGGTCCTATTCAGCCAGAGTTTCGGGCGAGCTCATTGTGAAGCCTGGCCCCACCCTATCAAGTGAATTCCTGAGGTCAGATGCAAGGGCGTCAGTTTGTTTTCAGAATTGCTGGGGACAATAACCATACACTTGAGTGGGGTTTAAAAATTACTGGGGACAGTAAGTAGGCTAGCACAGGGGTCGACAACCCACGGCTCTGGAGCCGCATGCGGCTCCTCTATCCATCTGATGCGGCTCTCTGTGCTTGTAAAATAATGAATGGATATTTAAATGAAATGCTTTATATTTTACTGCATTAATTTTACACCTGTATGCCAATTCTAAATGTAGATTGTCTGCGTAAACCTGAACAGTTCCAACCTGGTCTTACTGTGAGACCGGGTTGACGCGTAGGGCTGCAACAAACGATTATTTGGATAATCGATTAATCGGATGGGGTCTCGACACGATTAATCGATTAATCGGATTACATGGGGAAATTTTTAAAAACTGCTAGGGAAATGTTATTTCTCTCCTTCCTTCACTTTATTTAACACAACATTATTAGAAAACAGTTCAATAGCAGAAAAACAACATGCCATCACCTAAATTGTCTTATAAGGTGTATAGACAGAGACCCTAAGCTACATCTATCTGTGACCTAAAATGCTTGGTCCAAGTTAAACAGCTTAAGGGCAATTCTCATGTGTTTTGTTTGATCTCATCTGTTGACATTTATTTTAAATGTAATTAAACATAGGCTGTGAATTAATCAAAATTGATCACTATTTCCAAAAATGACTGAAAAAATACCAAATAAAGCAAAAGCAAATGAATGCCATCCTCCTTGCGATGATGCCCTGGGCAACTGCCATAAAGTCACATCAAGAAATGCTGCTGATCATTCCAATGATCCCAAATAGACTCACATTAGGCCACATGAAAGCAACTGAACCCAAAAATATATTAACCAGTATATAACTGCACTCTCACACAACACGCCTGCAGCAACAGTTAGGACTCCTCCCTCCCTTTTAAAAGCGTTTTTGCTTCTGAGGACATTGTGGTTGTAAAACCACACGCTAGTAGTCTGGCCCCGGTGTGATCAACCAGTTTCTGCGGGAATGTGACGGCGGAACCAGGGCCAGATTAACACTTTGTTGTACCCTGGGCAACAATATTCAAGGGCTCCATCATCACGACCCAAGGATCACCATATGTGGTCACATACAGAATATTTTACTGTAATATGCAGTAAATATACTCAATACTTGAATGCCTGACAACACGTAACCTGCCCAGAGTAACCTTTGACCCACCTCGTGTGGACTGACCAATGAGGAGAGGGTCTTAACTTGAGGCCCTCTCTTCATTGGTCAGTCTGCATGAGACTGACTCTCAACTGACGTTCAGTCATAGGCAGCGAAGCGTCTCTGTGCAGTGCAAAAGCCCGGGTGGACAGTTTGTTTAATGTAGGGTGATCATATTTAATATAGGGTGACCATATTTCCATTTCCAAACAAGAGGACAGGGGATCTGTGCCTATGACGTCACACTATGGCAACGCCACACAAACCATGTTGGGACCCATTTTTTGTAAGAACTAAATTAATATCAGATTCTGCCAATTAAAGGGCTCTAAAACAATTCATATGTAAATATTTTGCATATTTAATGCAAAATCTAATTTTTCTGCTTTAATGCTGCAACAAGGTTTTATTAATAATAAATTATTATACCTTTTGTTTTACTACAGCATCGGTAAGCTTCCTGTCCACAGATTATTAAGGATGCTTGTTTCAGCTGTGAGATTAGACGATAGGAGCAATGAAAAAATAAGTTGTCACACACTCCATGCCAACTTTCAGAGAATCCACAAATGGTGGCTTTCACATGGTTTTGTTACTTTTAAAAAGTTTAGAAAAGAAGCAGATGAGACAGCATGTCTGATAATTTAGTTTTTCATCTGATAATATTAGAACATGTCAGTAATGTCTGAGGGGCTTTTATAAACACCATATAACTAACACTACTGGAGAGGGCATGAATTACACAGAGGCTTCTGGGGAGGGGGGGGGGGGGGGGATTTTGCTTTGGCCCCCAAAATGTCTTGAAACGGCCCTGGGTGTGTGACTGAGTTTTGAAGGTGCTCTGAATATTATCAGATGTATAAATCTACCTACATTTTACTTTTCAACACTTTGTTTTGTTTTCTTGTTTTTATTGAACTATTTTCCTGTCCTGTCTGTCTCTCATCTTCCTGATTCTCCTCTTAATTCTCCAGAAAATCTGTTGCCTGGATTCTTACCTTTTCACCTCATCAGTTACTTTTGAGCAGATCAAAGGGATCTCCTGACCACACAGCGGAGAGCGCGTTTTCGATGCTGCGTGAGGTGACATCACCACAGCACAGGTGATGAGCTCCGCAGTAGCGCGCTTCAGGCACAAATAAGACAAAATAGAGAACATGTGCGGACATGAACGATCGTGTGCTAATTATAGTTTTTTGGTTGAACCACTTTGAGAATGGACCGTGCGCTGGACGCAGCAGCCTGGAGCGCTGCACAACAATGCCGAACCGGTTCGCAGCAGCGCAAGTCTGCCGGCTCTCCCTCGCGCTGATCTGTGGGCTCTCCCTCGCGCTGATCTGCGGCTCTCCCTCGCGCTGATCGGCTCTCCCTCGCGCTGATCTGACTTGCTCTGGTCTGCGCGCAATGGCGGGCGGGAAGGGGGGGGGGGGCGCTTTTGGAAGAGTTGTGCGACACAACGAATCGATGACGCAATTCGTTGCCAACGCTTTTAGTAATCGATTTTCATCGAATTTATCGATTTGTTGTTGCAGCCCTATTGACGCGTCACGCTTGTGCGTAATCATATGTGCTTCTGAGCTGCTTTCTGACCTTCCCCACCTACAAAGTTTAATTACAACAACCAAACGTGACAGAGCCTGGATTTGGATTCTGAACAGTCTAAACATGTTTTAAAAAAGAAACGTGTGACAAAAGTGGCACCTGCTCAGTAAAACCATCAACAGGGTGAAAAATATCAAAATATTGTAGGCAGAGACAGGCTACAACTTCTGGATCCACTTTATGTAAATCGTTTTATTGATTATCGTCTTATGAAAGATAACTTTGACGTACACGAGCGACCAGACGCGTTGCAAGCTTTTCAAAAGTGTGGGGGATGTTGTCTGTGCCTAAAATAATTTGATGTTATTCACCTTGTTAGTTTAATTTCCATAATAGCGGAGCAGATGCGAATTTTAGACGCGTCACGCATGTCTCCATTTGAAATATGTTTAAACTGTTCAGAATACAAATCCAGGCTCTGTCTCGTTAGATTGGTGTAACTAAAGTTTGTACTGAATGAAACTTTACATTAAACCATGTTGAGAAAAGGATCCGATTAAATCGTTCCTCCTCATTTACTGTCACGGAGTACAGTGCAGTGCGCGTGGCTCTGGGGTTAATCAAGTTTAGTTGTTTCTCTTTGCAACAATCTTCACAAGAAGGCAAAACAGTTAAATGGCAGGTTACAGATATTTCCATTTGACTGTTTATTTTGACGGATAAACTCAAGGATGCTGGTTGATTTCCTCCCACTGAAGCGGTCTGGAAACCCCGGTCTCTCTGAGGGATGTGTCA